ACGTGTTGCTGCATCTCCCCGCTGCTTGAGATTGCTGCTGCAGGTCGGGGGAGCACTTCCCAAATCCAGACCCAGGGAGCACTTCCCAGATCCAGATCCAGGGTTCCTTAGTGCAGCAGGAGGTCAGGAGGAGATGGGAGATGGCTGATGGCTGGTGTGGGTGCCTTGACTGGACTCTTGGGTGGGCTCATGTGGTCAGCTGTGTGCAGGTTGGGGCTCCTCAGCACAGGAAGGACCTGGAGCTGCTGGAGTGACTCCAGAGGAGGCCACGGAGATGCTCCAAAGGCTGGAGCCCCCCTGCTCTGGAACCAGTGTCTCCAGACACTGGGAGAGCTGGCAGAGCTGGGGAAGTTCACTTGGAGAAGAGGAGGTTCTTAGACACTGTAAGAACCCCTTAGACCCCCTTCCAGTGCCTAAAGGGGCTCCAGGAGAGCTGGAGAGGGACTGGGGACAAGGGATGGAGGGACAGGACACAGGGAATGGCTTCCCACTGCCAGAGGGCAGGGAGAGATGGGATATTGGGAAGGAATTCTTGGCTGTGAGGGTGGGGAGGCCCTGGCACAGGTTGCCCAGAGAAGCTGTGGCTGCCCCTGGGTCCCTGGAAGTGTCCAAGGCCAGGCTGGACAGGACTTGGAGCAACCTGGGCTGGTGGAAGGTGCCCATGGCAGGGGTTGGAACTGAATAGGCTTTAAGCTCCTTTCCAATCCACACCATTCTGGGATTCTGTGATGAACTCCAATCTCTGCAGAGACATGGATTAACCAGAACAGGATTTTTTTGTTGAAACTCTGTTTTCAGAGAAGGGGAAACTCCTGCTTGCCCAACAGGTTGGAGTCAAACCACCTGCTTTGAAACCAAAGCACCATTTTGTAATAACCTTGCAAACATTCACAGGAAAAATACCCAACTGACGTTTTTCAGCCCATTTTCTTGTAGCTGAAACCACTCAACCTGCATTTGTAAATCACCCTCTCCCAGTCTCCCTATTTTCAGTTATTTTCTGTCAAGTATCTTATCTCCCTTAAAACTTTTCTGCAAATTACTTGTTCCTTTGACATTAAGACATAAGCTGTAACGTGGACGGGCCTCTGATCTTCCAAACCCAGTTAAACCCAGTAATCAGACTTTAAGCTGATTTGAAAGCGAGTTGAGCTCTGCCTTCAGTACTTTTTTCTCTTTTTTTATCTGTGATTTAGGGAGAGATGATCCTGCCGTGGAGCAGGGACTGGGCCAGGTAATGCTCTTAAGGTCCTTACACCCATCTCTCTCTCCTCTGCTGTGGCTGAGTCTGAGCTGTTTGTAGCTGAAAGGGAGCCTTGGATGAATAAAAAATGGGCTTAAGTGACAATTTTTCACACTGAACAAACAGAGGGAAGGAAAGGACAGGAGACATATGCCAGGTTCCTGCTCTGATTTTCCATGACCGTCGGTTCATCTTTAAAACAAATCAAGAAATAAAAGAGAAAGGAAAAAAAAAAACAACTAAGAAGGGCTTCATTTCCAACAGCAATTAGCAAATGAAGCCTCTGCTTAATGGGCATTTGCAGAGGGCACAGACACCACTTTGTGCCTCTGGTTTCTCATCAGGGCTGGTGCAGCTCCCAGCTCCCAGACGGAGAATTCTGGCTGACAAAACGATCTTTTTAGGTTATTGCTGCATTCCTGAGCTGTCCCTGCTCGCCCGGCTTCGCCTTGGGAATTGTCAGGATTACAGAGTGAGCTGTGAAAACCCACTTAGCGGGTGGAAAATATATATTAAAGAAAAAAAAAACAAACAACAAAGCAACAGAGCAAAATGCTCTGTTTTTCTGCTTCCTTTCCGAGTTTTCTCTCTCATTGCACTTTTCCCTGTTATCCTATTAGTGCTTGTCCTTTATGAGTCTGAATAAAACCCAGAACTGATTCACATTCCCTTTGAAATCAAATATTTAAATCTTAATTCAGCACGAGGGTTTGTGCTGCCATCAGAGACCACTGTGACTCCCAGCCAGTCTCTCCCAGCAGGAAGAGCTGGAATCTCCTCTGGAATTAACCTGCCCTGCTGGGGATGCAGCACCTCACTGAGAGCCACCACCGTGGCCTCTTGGAGCACCTGTGCTGGAAAGCAGAGTTCCTCGAAGACACGTGGGTGCTGGGAGACCTGGGATCTCTGAAATTCCCGGGAATACAGTGCTCAAGGTGCACCTGGAGACCCGTAAAAATTTCAGCCGGGCTTTTTTGAGCTCGATGTGCGTAAAGCAGCTGGAATTTGGAGAGGACAGCTCTGCTCTTCCCCGCACACCTCGGGCTGGCTGGGAGGGAGCTGAAGCTGCGATAAATTAAACTGAAATATGAGCGTTCACACGTTGGTTCAGCAGCACGAGGAGGGAAATGATGGAGCTTTGGAGCCCTGCCCTGCAGGAAAGGCCCAGCAGCTCATCTGGAAACGAGTTGAGTTGCGAGAACTTGTGTCACACTTACCCTTGGTTTCAGATTAATCATCAGGCGGTGATTAAACGGAGTCAATGGAAATTAGGGTTGAATTGATTTGGGGTGGATCACATGGAGACTGTCCTGCTTTAACAAATTGGTTTTAAAGAAGAACTTTTCCTTCAGCCCTGTGCAGTTGTGTGTGTTGAACTGACAGCACAGGGGTGAGGGCTCTGAATTCCTGCCTGGTGTGGGGGATAATTCCCACCCGGAGAGGCTCCTGGTCATTAAAATCCCACAGGTAACACGGCAAGAAGCAATCCAGTCATCCTGCCCTTCTCCCAACTCCTCTCTTTCTTAGATCTCTCCTGTACCCAGAGTCAGAGCAACACTTTAAGTGGTGGCAAAGCAATTGAGGTGCTCTGCAAACCGCTCAGACCCAGAACTGTGCTCACAGGGAGCCCAGAGATCGGCAGGTCTCCCTGAAATGGCTTCACATTGAGGACCTTCCAGCATTTCACAGTGACACTGTGGACAGTGGGGGATTTTGGGGTTGTCCTGTGCAGGGCCAGGAGTTGGACTTGATGACCTTTGTGTGTCCCTTCCAGCTCAGGAGATTCTGTGATTCCACATGGGATACAGTTGAAGGTTGGACTTGATAATCTTGGAGGTCTTTTCCATTCTTAATGATCTTTGTTTTCCATGTGCTGGCTTGCAGCAAAAGGAATCATCTAAGATACCCCTGATGTG